CGAAACTTTAAAAATTAAAATAAAATAATAAATAGAAATCAGTTTCGGATTTTAAACCGAAGAGTCAATTAGCCTTGGGAAGGCAATTATTACTCTTGGAGTAAGCGAATTGCGATCCGCTAATTCATACTTGGTTCTTGTAAAGAACGAAAGGTCGGTGACCTAAAGTACGCTTCCTCAAGCGCTAAGTTACGGCAGCCCCGTTGCACGGTTGATTAGGTTTTAATATATAGATAGGAAAACCTTTAAATTTAGATAAAGGTGACTTTGCCGCAGATAAAGCCCAGAAATAGAGTTTACATTTTAAACGGAAGAGCTCATTAGCCTTGGGTTAAGGCTATACTTACTCTTGGAGTAAGCGCTATACTCGTACTGGTTCAAGTATAGAACGAAGGTCGCCGACCTTAACTAAGCTTCCTAAAAGCGAAAGAGCTACGGCAGCCCCACTGCATACGCAAGGCACAGTGTGTAGCGCTACCTCAGACATCCGCGAGTACTGCAAAGTTGCGCAGCGTGTGAGATCTCTCTCTCTCTTTTTTTCCTTAGCATGGCTGATATCCGTCACCTCTGGTGCGCTTATTAATTTTCATAAGAGTACCCCATCTGGTCGAACTTTGAGCTCAGCATTAATGTGACATAATAAATGGGTGGACGCCTTAAAATGTAGATGGTTTCATTTACAAATCATCTGAACCGAAGGCTAAAATCCATGGATTAGCTCGATTTTGATCAATGATAGTAATCCATAACTCCTCACATGGTCGAAGCGAGTGATTATAGCGCTTCGGAGGTGAAGCGAGTAAATCAGCAGCTTCGAGAACGGCACTACGAGTTCCGGTCCAATTGCAATGACGGTGACGGTGACGCTAGTGCCTGTCACAGCTGGGGTGAATGGGTAGCCGTTGTGGACAAAAATTACAAGGATGCAGGTAACAGCCTATGCTGCAAGGACAGTTTAGTCTTTACTTCCTCTTGATTTGAAAATGTGTCATACAGCCACGATATATGAGCTTAATTGCTCCAAGAGTGGATATCCAGCATCATGCTTTAATCTTGGACGATTGTTACGTGAGCTTTGTTGGTGCTAATTCAGTTGTGCTAAGTTTCAGACCCGATCATTTTATTGTGATTGATAGTGGCTGGCAAAGGTTTAGAACAAAGTGATCCAGATGCTTTTGACCTGTTTGGTGCGTTACATGCTCTTGGTTTGACATGTAATTCAATAAAACTAAGCATGCTTTAGGAAAAGCGTGTGCAGGTGGCCATGCGGCTGGTTGCCATCACGTTGGATTCATGCTGTCACAGGGCATTGGCTGTGAGAAGGTTAAGGCTTATAAGTATATTAGTCAAGGTTTTCTCTATTGTTGATATTGTGTTTGTTTAGAATCTCATAGAGGCTCTTGCAGCTTACAAAGAAGGGTGCAAAAATGATGACGCAAATAGCTGCAATCGCGTTGCAACTATGTACTTATCACCGGCCTCAAATAGTCCAATTGAACGCAACATCCAGCAAGCTAAGACATATTTGGAAAAAGCTTGTGATGCCAATTTTGCCCCCGCGTGCCATAATCTTGCTGTGATGTACAAGAAGGGCGACGTTGGCATATCGAAGGACCAATCTAAATATGAGGAATATCGTGCCAAGACGGAAAAGCTCATCGAGCAAGCGGGTGGCATCTCTTCCATCAAGTCAACGTAACATTAGCGACCGTTGTCTTTCCTAGCGATGCAATATCTGCGAGTTGATATCATCGCACATTTGTTGTTATGTGACGTGTCTGCTGTGTAAACATATTACTACCATGACATTTCACCATCTTATCTTATGGCAGACTCTTAACGGAATAGGAAACATGACTGCGGTCGCGAGATTCCGGTCATAACCATTTCCCTAAAAAGTGATGAGACATTCGTGGTGGCGGCCTTAAATTCTGAATGTCTGCTATTGATAACATCTCAATGCTTCGACCACACAACAATCCTTTGTGCCACCAAAGTCTGTTTAATCCGTTTTTGATGATCTCAAATTTTGCCTGAGTCTTCGTCTTGCATCTTAGCGTGCGTCTTGGTCAGTATCCACTCCTTTTCAATAATTGCGTTGATTGTATTTTCGCAAATTATCATCTTTGACAAGACGTCCGCTGGCAGCACTTTCAAATGTCTACTCAAAGCTTGTCTGGCGATTTGCAAGTGATCTTCAGATAACTTGGTACAGTTTTGTGGTACACCACATCGTTGGCAGAACAGCTCAAGTTGTTCAAGACAACAAGCCATTTGTTTTTTGAGCAAATCGTTGTCATGCTGAGTAAAATTAGCCGTCAAAACGTTATGTCTGAAGCTCAAGCTGTTACTCTTAGAGTCCGGCAACTTGCTCGAACTCGCTTTATCAGCCGCGCTGGATGAAGCACATACAGAAATAACGTAAATTTTTGCTTTATCCCTAACTGATTTTGCATGATTCACCTTTGAGCACGTCCAGATGCAATATCGAGAAGGCTTTGAATTGCCTTTTGCTGAATGTACGTGCGTTCTACATCGAATTCTGCCTGAATTGGTGAGGTTTGTTGCAGGTCGTCTACTTTTTCAGCGATTTCACCTGAATTGACAATTAACAAGCCATGGTTTGGTGACGCGGAGACAGGTGTAAGTGCATCATCTAGAAATGAATCATTGACTATGCCAAATCGCGCCTCGGCATCATTTTGTGTATCCGGAAAATTGTGTGTCTGAATTCCCATGTCGTTCAATATCAACGGATCTGTACCCACTTTCTTGCAAATTAGCTGAGATCCTTTTTCCAGAACTGTGCTGGTGGAATGTTCTGTCTGCACAAACTCGTTCACTCTAGAAGGCTCCTCGCTTTGGGTGCATGTGTCTTGTCGCTCAACTGTAGATGGTTCGTTTGATAAATGGTTGTGCGGCGCGTCCGTCTGCACACTTTTACTGGTCATCCGAATATGATTTGTTTGCGAGCTTGCTCCTTGCCGTGCGATAGTAGGTATTGCACACGACAAAGCCAGCTTATCTGACAACACTTTTTTCTTTTTTAGAGCCAACAAATGTAAGGCTTGAACTTTCGTTAATTCTCTTTGTGTCGATATAAGCTCTGCTCTTACATCTTTCAAAGTCTGTCGTAAATTATCAACTTCCGTTTGTGTTGCAACCAATGCATCGTCACTTTTGGGCGATAGAACAAGCGGTAAAATAACATCATTCGGAACTCCCATAGTCTTCTTCTTGACCGTCAGATCTTTAATTTGCTGCTTAAGGTCACCCAGCTCGTCCTTGTATTGCTGCTTTTGTTTGCACATTTCATGGAGTTGACGTTTTGAGTCTTCATTGAGCCGATCGATTTTTATCTGGCAAGCTTTTAATTCCTCATCTACTGTCGCATTTGACTGCAGTCGCTGTAAGATTTTCGCCAATTTTTTTTCCTCATCTTGCGCGAGCGATTGTATCTTTTCCTCATGCTTATAAAGGGCCTTTTCAATTTGCTGTACCATTTTCTGCATCGCAGCCTCAGTCGCTGATTGTTCCACTTTATTTTCCTTTTCTGTTTCATCGGTGACATCATGTTTCATTGCATGAGTCAAAGGTGCCTCCATCTTTATACTCTCCCCTTTATGTCGCCGCACAAGATGCTTCTCCAGGTAAATTGTCGACGAAAATAGCTTTCCACAATAGCCACAAACTCGAGCTTCCTGCACCACTGAACTAATGTTGTCTCGATTCTCCTCGCGTTCATTTATCACCGCTCGCTTTCTCTGTTTCGCTTGTTTCTCCAAAATTATCTCTGTCAGCAACGTCTGGATCGTCACCACTGCTGATGGTGAAGCTCTAGATGATACAACAGTACTCGATTAACTCACTTCATTAACAATGGACAGCACAAACAAACCCGTGAAATTGCAACAGTTTGGCAATATTTTGCAATACTTGGTGCAGCTTTTTTACCTGCTTATCGGCACATTGAGCCCTGGCCTTCCACTTTTGCAGACTTAATATAAGCTCATCCCGCTCTTGCTCCAGCAACCGCGATTCTTGATTCAGTGATTCCAGCACGTCACCATCCCTCGAGCGCATAAAGAGTAAAAATTCCATGGCCAGCTGCAAGATGCGCACGAGGTACCAAGCGTCACGTATCGATGAGTCTTTGAGCGTTATAGGCAGTCGCGCAAACGTGATATGTAGGGCATATGGCTCTAGTACCGCAGGATCACCTCTCTGCACCACACTGTTCACGTCCAAATCTTTAAGCAACCGCCAATTAAGCTTTTCACTACGCTCTCGCCAGCAGAACCGCTGCATTAGAGCGAGTTGATTGTGAGTTGTAGAAAATATCTGATTGCCTCATCTGGGGCAGTAATTAGGTCCGAAAATGTATTCTAACCTTTCGCACTGCCATACGGCTTTTTATTCCACCAGCCAATCACAAACTCCTTCACTACTGGCTGGTGTCAAGTAAAGACGCGATATGGCTACGTTGGCTGCTTCCTCGCTCAACGGCGTTAAGATCTACAACTTATCATCCGGCAAGACACTACCGCAATGGCTGGCTGAGAAAGGCAATAGTCGTAAGGCGCTGGCGAAAGATGATGATTACCGTCGACGCATTGAGCTCCTGCAAGACTTTCAATTCAAAGCAGGCTCGCAGCAAGTACGCATGTCCTCGGACCGAAACTATGTGGTGACCACAGGTGTTTATCCTCCTTCTGTCAAAGTTTTTGATGTGCGCGATTTAAGTTTAAAGTTTGAGCGTGGGCTGGACGCTGAGGTGGTCCGACTCGAAGTATTATCCGCCGACTTTGGTAAACTCGCTTTCTTACAAGCTGATCGATCTGTGGCATTTCATGCTCCATATGGTATGCACTATAATATGCGAATTCCAAAGTTTGGTCGGGATATGACGTACCACCGTGAGAATTGTGAGTTGTACGTGGCGGCATCGGATACCGACGTTTACCGTATTAACCTGGACCAAGGCCGATTCATGGCTCCATTAGAGTTACAGTCTCAGTCTTCAGCTGCTAACGTGGTTCAGCTTAATCCTATTCATCAACTTCTAGGTGTTGGCTGTGAAAATGGAATTGTTGAGATGTTTGATTCCAGGAGTCAGCAACGTGTGGGAAGTTTAGACATTGCAGCTTATTGCGCGAGTAATGTAGACAAGCATTTAGACGTCACAGCATTACATTTCGATAGCGATGGATTAACATTTGGCGTCGGAACATCCATAGGTAAGTGTTTATTATACGATTTACGATCGTCGCGTCCGCTTTTAGAAAAGAGCCATCAATATGGACTGCCCATCGTGAACCTTCAGTTTCACGACTTTGCGCGCAAAATAATCTCGTCAGATGCCAAGGTGATAAAGATCTGGGATCGTCAGACCGGTGCTGCGTTTACAAGCGTAGAGACGCCTGCAGAGGTAAAGGATGTATGTATTGTAGAAGGTGGACATGGAAAGTCTGGGGTGTTGCTTGTAGCTGGTGAGCAGGAGCGATTAATGAGTTATTACATTCCAGAGCTGGGAATTGCTCCAAAGTGGTGTTCATTTTTGGATTCGCTGACTGAGGAATTGGAAGAAGAGGCGCAGGCTACAGTGTACGATGACTACCGGTTTGTAACTCGTACGGATATTGCCTCGTTTGGACTGGATCACTTGGTTGGAACTCCATTGCTGAAAGCATACATGCATGGTTTTTTTATGGATGCTCGTTTGTACAACAAGGTGAAAGCTGTGGCGGAGCCCTTTGCGTATGAAGAGTGGCGCAAAAAAAAGTTGAACGAGAAGGTTCAAGCAAAGCAAGCAAATCGTATAGCAATTCAACGCCGGTTGCCGAAGATCAATCGCGCAACAGCCGAGCGGATTTTGAATAACGAAGCAAAGCGTAAAAAGCATTACAAAAAAGACGAAGAGGCCGATGCTGATCAGTCATTGTCGAATCCGCTTAACGATGAACGTTTCTCACGTATGTTCACGTCTTCTGACTTTGAAGTGGATGAGGAGAGCGATACGTACCGCAAGCTGCACCCTAATGCTACCAATACGAGGCAACAGCGTATTCAAACGGAAGACATGGACAGTGATGCCGAGACGGACGAAGAGATTGATGACGAAATGGGTGGTCGCTTTGCCCGTGTAGATGATGAAAATGAGATTGAAGAGATTGAAGGTCAACCAAGTGACGAGTCATCCGACGAAGAAGAAGGACTTCAAGAGCGTGTTTCAAAGCGTGACGTCTCAAATCGCAAGCGGAAATCTGCACTAAATATGTATGAAGTGGCAAAAGGCGAAAAAGTTGGCAACCTTATGGCCTTTGGTTCGTCAAGTGATCGTGCTGCTCAGCGTGAAAAGAAACAGCTAGCCAAAATACCACTTGCTGAGCGGATGAAAATGCAGCGTTTAACAGAGAAGGAGCGCAGCGCTTTCAAAAAAGAGGAAACTATTAGTGGAGGCTACGTTCGTGAGATGTCTTTCGTCCCACAGGCAGACCGACGCAAACAACAGCGTGCTCGGCAGCGCATAAGCGGTGACAGCCACGATGGTGATTCGGCGATGGATATTGGAAAACGACGGAAGAAGCGAGGGGTGGGCGATCTGAAGCTCTCGAAACTAGCAGGACGCAGCCATTTTCGTCGATAATTTTGTAATACATTTACTTCAATATCGTAGTCTTAGCTCCTGATGAATAAATTTTGTGTATTTGTTACTTAGGTCAGCAAAAATGTTGCAGCGTGTTCTGGCCCGCCAGAATGTGGAAGAGCGTCGGCGGGCTCTTTTCGACTTAAGCGGCATCACAACGCACCGGCAGTTCATACTACGCCCCCTTTGGGACGTTGCTCACGCTGTGGACCTGTCAATTCGTGAGGCAGAGGTGAAGCAATTGGCAAGTTTCAGTTATAAAAATGTCTTAACAATGCTCGTGCAGAAATTAATGACACAAGTCTCAGCACGATTAGCCCCTGCCAGTCGGTCGGTAATTGAGATATTTAACTTTTATTGCAGCCTAAAAGCATGCAGCGGTTGATAACTGATACATTAATCGCCAGGCATTTGACCTCTTTTTGGAAAGTGCAAATAATCCAACATTCCTGCGCACCGGACTGGCAAGCATCGACCAATCTTTGAATGGGGGTTTGCATTGTAAAACACTGTCTGAGGTAATTCAAGATTTCTCACGACTACAATTATAGCTGACAAAATCATCTTTCAAACAGTTTGCTGGCGATGCAGCAATTGGCAAAACACAAGTTGCTATGACTCTTGCAGTGGTGTGTGCATTGGATTATCCAAATAAAGAAGTAATGTTTTTCGACGTGGAGCATAATTTTAGTGTCAAACGGTACGTCTTGAACAGAATAAGTGGCACGACAGAGAGGGTCTAAAGATGTTTGCAAGTTATAGCTTGTTGCAAATTGCTATTGCGCGCATCAAAATGACACATGCTGGCCAAGAACTTGATCTAAATGAGGTAGCTGCCACAGTTACCAAGCGTATTCGTGTTGTGAGGATTAGCTCGATTGCCGCATATTTTTCCAAGTACGAACTTTGTGCGTAATTAGGAGAGCTTCACCTCCCAACAAAATGATTTGAAACAGGTTTAAAAAGATGAAAGCTGCGATGTGTCTTCACAAAGTTAAACTTCTCATTATCGACTGTGTCACGACGCTTTTCGTGAAGGTAGCTGCTCCTTCTCTGGATCTCCACCGCTATGTGCGAGTCTAATTGAAAACATCGCGCACGAAATATTAGGCTGACGACTTCACGTACGCACAGCGTCAGCATCATATGTTGCGACTTGCAAGGGACCTTAAGTAAGTACATTATGTTCATGCACCAAGAAAGCACATTCAACAACCGATGATTGATTCTAGGTTATTCGCAGACACACACCAGGCGTTCGTTGTAGTCACGAATCGTGCAACTACAGTTGAAGGCGGAGGTAGGAAGAATATCAAATTTTTGATAGCAATATTAATTTGCACTGATGCGACAGCGGGACTTTATACAAAACCGCAGCTCGACGACACTTGGGCGCATTGTGTCAACACCAGAGTCAGTAGAATTGCTACATTTTGTTATTGAATTGTACTTATCTGGGTGAGTTATATCGTTAGTTCATCATGGAGCGGCATTCTTTATATCGCGCAATCGCTGTCGTCAAATCATCGGTTGCGAGCCATGTCGTGCAACCATTTACAGTCAAGGTACGAATTAGTTAATTGCCTTATAGTGACACGATCATAATTTCACCGGTCTTAAGGAATGTGGCGTGGAATCCTTGAAATTCGAGACTTCTCAACAACCGGAGTTTGACGAGCTGACAATCCATGGCGACATACCGAGTGACCTTGCAACGGTGGCTCAGTCTGTAGTGGATGCTGAATGCACGTTACGGACAACACATCAAAGAAATGCGGAAGATCAGGATGTTACTAAAGTGGTTTATCAGGACGAGAATTACGAGTTGCTCTCGTTCGCACGAAAGACGAAAACAAGCAGCTTTGAGATTGTGTCCGACTCTAATTCAGAACATGACGACGAATCGCTCTGTTGGAAGACTGTAATGGAAGAGTAGTACGACCAAAGGTTTTACAAGACAACACCAGTATAGGGTCATAGAACATTACGCCGGCAATTTTTTCCTTCCGTGGTTACCACCGAGAACATTCTGAAATACAGCACAAGAGCCACAACTTTTCGATATGGGGGTAGTATTATCATCGTTCAACTGCTGAGATCTAACAGCAGGAGAGCAACCCCTCGACCATTGGATCTTAGGGTAGGTTCGGGTACGTTAAAGAGTTCAAAGGCTAAACGAGTTGATCCTTATAAAACGAATAATAAGTATACAATAATTACTATAAGTTGTAATGACATTTTGGATAGTGGATTATGCAAGTGTTGTGGTGAGCCGATTATTGAGGTTTCCGCCCATAAAATTTTTTCACGATAAAATTAATTTCAGCTCGGCCAATAGTAATCCCGAGAAAGACTGAGAAACGTTTTCTCACGACCGAGATGCACCCGAACGGCTGACATGGCACTAATATAAGAGACGATGACGCAAGCCTCGTCGTTTGGAACAATGACTCTTGCTGTACCCTCGTGTTCAACCGTAAAGTACAACAATCCGTTGTGTACTCCAAAACGGTGAACACGCGATCTTGTGCGAGACGGAAGACCTTGCAGTGCTTTGTCGGATGGTTTATTAAATATCGCAACAGGTCCTGACATGTCTCATCAAAATTGTACCCTTCGACAATTTTTTCGTGCACTGTAGTCGTTGTTGTACTCTGATGGTCTGAACACCTTCGCATTGTCGACATGACTTGCGCATGTTTTTGTTCCTGGACTTTGGATCATATTTCGGACGTTTTGACAACGCATTGACTGATAAGATCGTCTTGCCTGGCTTGTAGTGTACAACAAAGTTGTACTCCGCAAAGAAGGGAACCATCGACAATTCATTGCGATGCATGAAGAGTCTTTACTGCCGTACGCAGTGAAGCCTGATCTGTATAGATCGCAAAGCGCTCCTCACCAAGCAAATAAACACGAAACTTAACCAAAGCATACTTCATTGCAAAAAGCTCTTTGTCGTGAACTGGATAGTTCCGTTCCGCGGACCGGAATTGTCGCGACTGATACGAAACAACTCGCTCTCGTCCTTCATCATCGTGTTGCATCAACGCACAACCGATGGCATAATCTCTTGCATCGCACACCTCATGAAAAGGCTTATCGTGGTGTGCAATCGAGATACAGGAGCTTCTTTCAAACTCTTCTTCACTTCGGCAACCGCCTGGTGATCACTTGACCATTCGCACTCTACGTTCTTCTTTAAAAGAGTTGTTAGGGGTTACTTCTACACTGCATAGTTGCGCGTGTAGCTGTGCAAATAGTTGGCCAAGCCCAACCATTGTCTCAGCTGATTCACATTGTTTGGCACGAATAAATCATCGATAGCGTTGACTTTCTCCGGATCTACACGATCGCCATTCTTGACCGCAAAGCAGCCAAGAACGGGAATCTCTGGTGCGAAGAAAATGCACTTTTTAGATTAGCGTAGAGTTTATTCTCTCGCAAAACCTGGAAGTCTGGCGAGATGATCAAGATGATCATCGACATCAGACTTCTCACCCGTTTTCTTACTATGAACGAATATATCGTCAAGGTAACTCGGTGCAAACTCTCTCAATGGTCGGGGAAGGCTAGTGACCATTCTGTTGAAAAGATGGAGCGTCTTGTAAAACTTGTGGCATCACCAGCCATTCCCACAGCATACCCGTGGGGGTACTGACTGCAGTAAGTTGTGTATCATTTTCGTATCTGACAGAGACCATCTTTCAGATCGATCGCACTGAAAATTGAACGGCCAATCATTTCATCAAAAAATGAAACCGGATCTGGGCAGGTAGGGTCGCATCGTTTAATTTGTCAAAAGCGTGAACACGCATGTGGCTTTCTTCACACAGAAGGTCGGACTACCATGCGGAGACTTACTCTCACGCACATGTCCAGCCTACTGTCTCTGCGCAGAGAACTCGTCGATTGCAATGAATTGTTCTTTTGGCAACGGTCATTGCCGTGTGATACAATACTTCGTACCAGGAAGTATATCAATCTCATGACGAATGCCTCTGTCAGATGAAAATCCGTCCGGCACATTGTCTCGGAATTTATCAGCATATCTTTTGACAAGTCCATACACGGGGTTTGAGCCTAGAGCGCCCCACGACTGCTCATCGGACTTTTTCTTCCGTGTCTTTCCATCAAATACTTGCGCAGCTTTTATGTCATCGTCGATAGTTTTTTCGACGGTCGCACATATTTGCAAATCTTTGCCTTTCGCCAGGCTACGCTTCAGCATCTTCTTGCTCATCAACGGCAAGGGAAACAATATTTGACTGAATTTGGAGGATTTTCAATCTTTACGCGATGGATGATATTGACCTTATCTTCTTCGTTGTAGGCCAAAACATTTATAAACTCGCTTGAAGTGTCTTGTTCTCGAACACTTCCTTCATTAAAACAACTTGTACCTTGACGCAAAATACAAACGGAAAACCCTTCTCGGTAGCCTTCTTATTCTTCTCTTCGGGATGGGTCTTTGCCTCTGATCCCACTATTCTTCATACAACCATCGACTACTTTCATGTCGATAGCAAAGAGGACAGTCTTTTTCTGGCGCCTGACTGCTCCACCTCTAGTTGGTGTCTTCACTTACGTCTTCTTGGGCTTGTTCTGTGAACATGGAGGGCCATCGAACACCATAATATCACTAGGGACATCTGTGAGTTCCTCTATAGATTCCACTTCGTTCGTCGTCATGCAGTCGAGTTAGCGCTGCGCGACTTGTTGACGACGATCTACATATTCACCTAGTCAATGCTAGGCTGGTAACGCTTCAATCATAGCATACCTAGGATGATATCAAATTTATCATTGAGGTCGAGTAAGTTAAACTTATTTTCACCTCGGAAATCCTCAAACTTCATTGCCAAGCGAATGACTCGCTCTGACATCTTCATTCTAGATCCATTCGCTTTACGAACGATCAATTATTTCTTCATATTGAGCAGGCTAACGCCATACCCAGTCATAAATTGCGCTCGAACAGAGTTGCTCGACGTACCAATGTTAATCAAAACTTGTAGTGGCTTCTCAAAACCATCTACGAATGTCTCTTTGGCGATCAAAGTCGCACTTTGCCTGACACTTCCATTACTCATAGCGGAAACTGCATGTGCATCATGCACGTTAGGGCCAGAGTTGTGTGTATCCACAGCACCCACAGTACTTTTTCGGGCCCAGTAAGGAGACCCGCCCCTACTGGTCGATTCCGTCTTTGAAATCTTGGGAGCGTTTGAAGTGATGACCTTTAAAGCGTCTGCGGTCATCCGAATGAGCCACTTGTGTCTGTTTGCTGACTCGGCAAAGACACTGTGCAGTTCCGGGCAATATGACCCGGCTTCCCACAACGAGAACATTTACCATCGTTTCAAAGACGTTCGTTTCCAGATGGAGAAATGTACGAGATGTCCATTGGCTCTGGACCATCACATGTACCGGTTGGCTGGCGTGCTCGCCTCCGTACGAAGCCATTGAACTCAGCTTGATTCATGCTGAACTCTTCTTGCATCGCACGGTTGATGCAATGATCTAGCGTCTTGGGATACTCACGGAACAATTTATTCCGGACTGAATCATCGTTAAAACTGCCATGAACGTTACAGCTTGCGTTGAAACGTCAATTGGCTCGTCGACAATGCTCGATACCATGTGCCCACTTGACTTCCGGACCTCTTTCCTCTGCGCAGCCCCATAGCCTTCATCCATATGGAAACATGATACTATATCATCGTTCATCTTTTTGATACTTTTGAGCTATGTTTTGCGCCCGAGATAAGATTGTACGTTCATAATCGTGGCAAATATGTTTAGATTGAACCCCATAAAAAATTGAGCACGCTGTGCAAAAGTAAAAACTGTAGGTCATAACGACCTTGACGAAGCTTCAAGAAATCGGCACGGGCACGGAATTCACTTTGTGGTAGCACATACGCCTTCTTTAGCTCGACTTTGATGTGTTTGTAGCTGGGAAAGCAGTTTGAATTGGCTAAACGCTTTTCAAACGCCCAACGCTTTGCACGACCCGCAAGGTTGGACATCGCGAACAACACTTTCTCGTAGCTGTCATGCAGTGAATTCTGCATCCAACTCGACAAACCTTTGTGAGAGAGGCTCGATCTCTTCACCACGGTACAACGGTACATTCACTTTCAGAGGAACCTTTCTGTACAAAGAAACAGCGGTTGCGACCTGCTTCCGAGATTCCATTATCTCATAATGCATGAATCTGACAGCTGCGTTTTTTCTGGTCATCCGGAGAAGACGACTGCAGTAAACTGACTACTGCAGCTCCTCCAATGACTTCTCGCATCCGCTCGAGTGCCATCCACTCATGTGAAGACAAATGATGAAACAAATCATTCATCAGCACATCAGTCTGCGGTACTGATGGACCGAGCGGTACCCCAACTTCTTCCATGTCGTTCGGACAAAAACAAGAGTATGGATTAGACTGAATTGCGCGACGTGCTCAACACACGTTTTGGTTTGACGACGCCGCGTCGTTAAACCTTGGGTTTCTAGTCTATGTATAAAGGGTTACTGAGGTTGAACCTCAACTTCAACAGTTAAAAGACCTTAATTGTACGGAGCTTGAATTTCGAAAGCTTGAACTTCAACTTTCGTGAAAGGTATCCAGTAAAGGGACTGGCTTACGCCACCCACCTCGAAAAGCTTGAGCCTAAACTATCATGAAAAGTATCGAAAAGAAGAGGGTGGCGTAAGCCACCCACTTCTATAACAGAGACACGTTGGTCTCGTCATCAGTACAAATCGCCAAGTAGGAACCAGCTTTCTGTATACACAGAATGTCTGTGACTCCATATAAGAAACCACGTATGCATTTAGAAATACCATACTGTAATCTTTATAAATTCCCACCATGCATACAAAAGGTACATACGTGGACGTACGTACACGGGATTCAGTGAAGCATATTGCTGGGATAATGTACTCTATGCTGTCTAGTGACAACTAGCTAGTGGTCACTCCTACGTCTGATAAATATAGAATTGAAATATACTACTGTTGACGTACTCATCTGAACAATTCCTCGCCAACAAACTGCGCATTAAAGACGCGCAGAAGCACTACTATCAGCACACACGCAAAACTCGTATCAAAAGACTAACGACGAAAATAATCGCGGCGTAACAAGTCTAAATAATTATATATTCTCTGAAAGGAATATACTATTCATAAAAGAGTCGAGTATTCAGGTGACACGTTGTAGTAACCTGATAACTCTATTCGCTCAAAATTATCTAATAGCTTCGAGTCCGACACTAAAACAATTCAAGGAATTAATGTATCGAGACGCTTCGATAACTGTCCACAAGAACTCGTTCTCGATCTGTGCCATAATAATTGGTCTGCTAACAAGGCCTCGACCAGTCT